AACATTCTTTTTCAATGCGACACCACAATGGTCCATACCATAAATATAACAGATTACTCCACGCAAATGAAAGATAAGCAATGATTGCATTAGTCTGTATCAAAGTTTTCTCATAAAATCTGATCTTTACAATACTTTAAGCATTTGTGCATTACAATCGGAGATCACGGTAACAAACTATAAGTCTAATTGTCCTCTCTCATGCGTTTTAGCTTCAGACGTTCTTATTATGAATCACACACCGATTGCTCGGCGCCTCCCTTCAGTGGAGTAAGATAAAAGTGTCTGCTTGTGTTTGTGTCTTCTGCTGGGCCTGGAGCAGCTGTGTATCTAAAGAAGATGTGTGTGGTTAATGGTGCATTTCTTTTGATGTTCAAGAACAAGGCATCAGAAGCAAGGGCAATCTCCATGGCAACTGGCGTAAAATATTCCCCTATAGCGCATGTGTGTACACGTTTGTATTCACACATCGGACATGTGTGTAAGCAAGATGGTGCTTCACTATGGCTTTACTATCAGGTGACGGTTAATTGCCTCAGAGGATTAGCAGAATTCACTTAAATCTGTATTCATCTTCTTGTAGTTACCTCTGCCAATTAGTTGTTTTCGGCTCAGTTTGACTACCAGGAGGATAACAGTAAACCTGTTTACCCAAATGTTATGAAATGTGTTGAAAAAGCCTGGACCAAGGAAGAACCCCATACATTTTGGAGCAGATCCAAATGGCGGGCGGATACAAAGATTATGTTTTATTTTCGTTAACTTTGCAGACGTGCTCGATTCTTGTGATACCTATAACAAAAATAGTTCCCAACTAGGCAAACTGTCGTGAATGCCCCCTTAAGTCTGAACAGTTTTCATACATATATCAAGGTGTAGTTTAAACACTGACTCTGAGCAAAAAACTACAACGCATCTTCTTTGTAGCGTTTCTACATTACTACTTAAAATGTCAGAAACAAACCAAAGTCAGAAGAACCTCTTCCAAACTCATGATGTGGGACCATCCAACGAGCATGTGAAATCCCCTTTGGCAGAGGTCTGCACCCTCCATTATGCCTTCTGAAAATCCTCTAAAGAGACTGACTGATATTTATACAGCAGCAGTAAACTACCTTCTGGGTCTTTGCCAAGGCAAATGTGTCTGACAACCAAATTAGCTGTTCCTGTGGAGGCGAGTCTAACTCAAGGAGAGGGGCTGTAAGCTGTAAATCATGTTCCACTTTCCAACTAATCTACAGAAAGGAAACATTGGCCAAAGCACTTCAAATAAGAAAATCAATGCGCGAGCACGATCACCATAAACATTGATTCAGTTTGATAAGTTGTTCTGGTTCCAAACAGGAAGATACAAGACAAGCTTCTCTTTCAGTCCGGTCTCTTCAGTTTCATTTTTCGCACTGGCCCACACAAACACTGTGAGGAAAGATTGAGGTGTGATGGTAGGATTCTCACTATATTTATAATAAAGCCTCTGTTCTTGTCAATTTTCTTGCAACCAGTTTGTTGACGCTGAACCAGCTTTACAAAAGTATAATAGAGGTGGACTTTGCATTACATGTCTTAAGAAAACTGTCAAACCTGTGAAAATGTGTATTATACTTCTTTTGCCTCATTATCTGAGATTTATTATATGAGTTTTATGTTCCTCCCACCACTCTTAAAGCATAGTTTACAGTCACAGCAGGCAGCTGTTATCAAGGAAAAAGCCTTAAAAACCCTCTGAACACAACCTGCTCAGCAGCAAGCAGCTGACACACGGTTAGCAACCAGCTGGTGAACACTGTGTAGCATTAAGCAGCCAAAGAGCCTGATATTCCCCTCAGGAGCTGTTAGTCCTAAACCAACTAAAGAAGGGTTAATATTGGACCTCATCAAGAAACTGCCAATGATCAATAATGTTGCTCTCTATATGCTGGATGTGTAAATAAGCAACTCTTAAGACGCTTAAAGGTGGGGTAATTTTGGAGAAACCGGCTCGAGTGCGCTAGAATTTGAAAATACACAACCGGAAAAAATCTGCCCCAAAAGCCCCTCCTCCAACACACACGAGCGCGCACATGACCAATGAGGGCACGAGATAAGTTTGTGCACAGATGGTAGGCTGACAGGCAGGTAGGCCATCCAGTTATTTTAGCCGGGCCGGCTCAGATGATTGGTCTGCTTTTTACAGCGCTACGGCTTCCACAGATGACATTTTTTTATGTATTTATTGTCAAAGCATTTAATATATTCATTGCTATCGGGATATTAAGAGCATTCCATGGAATATAACAAAAAGTGTTTCTGAAATAAATTACATACCCCACCTTTAAGAGTCTGGTATTTCTCATGAGGGGGAAGAGTACCAGCAGAGTGCTAACCAAGGCTAACAGGAAAGTAAATTGGATTTCAAGATTGTTTGTTGTGTGTTCAGAAATATGTAGCCAAATGAGTGCTAGTTGTTTACCAAGATATCACCTTTATTAACTTAATAACGCTATATGTCAACGTCACTCAGTCATTAATAACCAAATTCTGTTTTTGCAGCTTTAAATCAGCCATGTCAGTTTACTTTTCAACATGCTACTACTGTTACAACACAAATTGCACACAAAAAAATAATGGAAAACTGAAATAGTGTTTGACTCCTTTAACATGCATGAAATAATGTATCATATAAGGATGATGATATAGATTCACAACACAACAGCAACACTAATTTGAAGATACAGGGAGGAGGAAATAACTGGCTTATATGGATTAATGTACTTGTCTGAGCATAACCATTAATTCCACATTAAGAGGATGTAGTATAATGAACTATTTTACAAATATTTATTTGTAATTCCACTGGTGCTTCACTGTCGCTGAATGAAGGCACTTTCACAGAGTGAGCGTGTTAGTCAGGATTCAGTGACATGACCTTATCATTATTCATTTAGCTGAAACATTGGCTCACAGTATTGACTGAGAAGATAATATTTGTCCAACTCTTGACAATCCCATTAGGCTCTGCGGACATATCGCTAAATGTCATAAGACTACATTCAATATTAATTCATTCAAATAGATGTTAACATGGGCGGTTTATGAAGGGGGGAAGAATGATTATAGCCTTTTTGGATTTCAAGGCTGCAGTAGTATTGTCAGATGAATCTCACACTAGGTCCAGATTGATTTTACTTTCAAAGATGTGCTTTGATTTGATTTAAAGCTGCTATCTGGTTCTAGGCAAAGTTATATCTTACAAGTTGTCAAATAAAGGAAAAGTTTTTTCACACTATGTTTAAACGTAGTATTTGCTTTCATTGTTTCACAGGATGTACAATAAAGTACTTCAAGCCCCACACACTGCTCTAAAATGTGATCTTAACAAGAGCAATAACTTACTCATTCCTAGCATTCGGTGCCATTTAGGTCCCCAACACATTATATCATATATTTTGTATTTAAAAGGTCTAATGCTTATTTTTTAAAAGGTTGGTTTTAAATGTTTATGCCCCTCTACCATAAAACAACAATGTTATTTATCCAGGATATTCAAAATTCTAAATAATTACTAATAATTTAGCACAAGTAGGCCAAATTGCTGCGTCCCCAATCATGTTTGCTCAACTTCTGTAACAGATATAAAAAAAGAAATACAAACACATTCTACATTTTTGTCACTGTTGTATAACCTTTTTGCTAATATTCCTCACCAAATTTAATTTTTTTTTATGAATTCAATTTTATTGTTTAAAGTTTTTTTTTAAGTGTGTGTGTCCCCTATTTGAATGTCCCCCCTGTTACTCTGATTTGTATCCCTCTGGAGACACCCCTTTACTATTTTACTATTTGTATGACTCAAGAAGAAGGATACATTTTGAGTGGGAAAATCATCTTCAAGAAGCAGAGTGCATGCATTCTTCCTTCAACATTTTTTTAAACGTTTTTAAAGAACTTAACTGTTGCGGTAAAGCATAAATGTCCACCCTGTTATGCTCATTTTTAGTGGAAACTGATCATTTGTTTTACATTTAGAAAATATGGTAAATATATCTATCAAATATGTGTTTCTGTTGGCACCAAGTGCTAGCTTGATTATCATCACACATGTAGCAATAGCCAAGTTTAGCATAAAATGTCCACCCTGTTACTATTTTTCACATTAACAGGGTGGACACCTGGTGGACACACAGTAACTGGGGATGTTAAAAAAGATTTTTTTTAAACATAATATCCTGAGCTTGACCAACATATTTTTCTTATACTTTAACAAGCCATCATTTAGATAAAATAAAAAAAACATGGAAAATTATGTTTTTTATTTTTGATTAACCTAGCTGAAATGGCACCGAATGCTAGGAATGACTCAACTACCATCACGTGATAATGATTAAATACATGAAGATGGATTTTTATAAAATGTACAGTGGAATACAACATTTACACTCTAAAGAAAATGAAACTTGAGGATAGAAATTAAATGAAGAGCCCAAACAAAAACAGGCTTTTTAAAAATGTCAAGTTAACACCTTACATGTAGCTATTGTGATTTATTATATGAGATAACAAAGGTTAGCAAAAAGTAAAAAGAGAAGGAAATACAATCCGTGTGGTTTCAAAACTTCCTAGAGTTCAGTAAAAACTCCTTTTTAACTATTCCTTTTGGTGGGACTTCACATAACACAACACAGCAGACCCTGGCTGCTGGCTGCAGGTACCTTCTGATCTGAGTGCACACGGCCCTCCATATAAATCAGCATTACCTCATTTCCACCTAGCTAAACTTGGTCGAAAACCTCCCTCTGCTGGTTGAATATAGAGCTGTTAAAATGTACTAAAACTGTTGTAAAAAGATGCAATGTGTTGCCTAGTATATACATCACAAGTGTAATCGATCATAAACGCAACTACATGCAAAATAACACGCACAATAGTCGGTATTTTCGCAGTTTAACGGCTCAGTTTGCTTACCTTCCATGTCGAACTCGATTTCCCATGAGCCTCCAGGCGGGAGCGTGAACAGTGACGTCAATTTAAGTCGACTGTCAAGCGCACAGCTGACAAACTGACCTGATGCACGATACAAGTCTCAATTTTAGTGCATGCAGTCGTATTTACTGTTACTGATACTTTCAGTCTGAAATGTATCTCTTAGTTTATGTGGCCGAAGCTTTTTTTTTACTCTTCATTTAGTCGATTACTCCGCTTTTAGACGAGCTTGTGTTGTTGCTGGAAAGCTATCTACAACTAGTTCAAAATGAGTATTCCAGCTCTAAATAACACCGGCGTGGTCTACAGACGGATCTTATCACAGTTTCCACAGGACATTAGTTTAGCTTTTGCTTATGGATCTGGCGTTTTCAAACAACAAGGCACCAACCAAGGTCAAATGGGGGTAAGTGACATTACTGTGAACTCTGATCACAACATTAAACTTGCACTGGCTACAGGCTATCTAGCATGCCAATGCTTAAATAAATGTTCGACTAATAGTCCATTTTCAGTGAAGGAGACACTTATCTCTTGTGCTGTTGTATTTCCTGCACTCCATTTTTGTTGTTGTTATTGTCCCATGTTACAGGGCTTTGTGGGGTTTTAGCCTCACACACACACACACACACACACACACACACACACACACACACACACACACACAGTGAAATGTACATATTTGTAGGGGAAAGGTTCAAGGTTCTTTATTGTCAATCTGACATAGCTACAGAGTAATTATGCAGTTGAAAATCTTATGTCACAGGCTTCTCCAACAATGCAACATAATAACATAACATAATAACAATAAGAGCAAGAGCAATACAAAAATAATAATAGTTATAAAAATGAAATAAAGTTATGATGTGGAATAGTGCAGTATGAGTCTATATACAAGTTATTGGAATGATATATATATATTAGGTATTAGATACATACTACTGAGTAGCAGTTGAATGTTTGAAGTTGTTTCAACAGTTCAATTTTTTAACAGTCTCACTGCCCGCGGGAAGAAACTGTCTCCGAATCTTCTTGTCCTTGCCCGGATGCTGCGGTAACGTCTGCCAGACGGCAACAGAAAGAACAGTTTGTGGCTGGGGTGATGGGGGGTCTTTGATAATCCGTAGTGATTTCTTCCTGAGCCGCTGGGAGTAAAGGTCCTCCATGGATGGCAGCTCCGTCCTGGTGATGTGCTGTGCAGTTTTCACCACCCTCTGTAAAGCCTTACGATCGAGGTCGGTGCAGCTGCCGTACCAGGCCGTCATGCTGCCAGTGAGGATACTCTCTATCGTGCACCTGTAGAAGTTGCAGAGTATCTTGGAATCCATTTTGAACCTCCTCAACCTGCGGAGGAAGAAGAGCCGCTGTCGAGCTTTCTTGGTGATGGTGGTGGTGTGAAGAGACCATGTCAGGTCCTCAGTGATGTGGACCCCAAGGAACCTGAAGCTTTTGACTCTCTCCACCGTAGTCCCATTGATGGCGATGGGGGCGTGTCCCTCTCCCTGCTGCTTCCTGTAGTCCACAATCAGCTCCTTTGTTTTGCTGATGTTGAGATGGAGGTTGTTCTCCTGGCACCAAGATGTCAGGTTTTCGACCTCCTCTCTGTATGCCGTCTCGTCATCGTCTGTGATCTGGCCGATGACGGTCGTGTCATCAGCAAACTTCACGATGGTGTTGGAGCTGTGTGTGGCCACGCAGTCGTGGGTGAACAGGGAGTAGAGGAGAGGGCTGAGCATTTACATGAGGCATTTACATTTGAGGCTTAGTATATGTACCAAGTGTATGAAGTGATAAACATTGGTGGTGGTAGAATTTGCTCAGTTTTATTAATTTGCAAAACAGAACATGATTGGATCTCAATATGATTCCAATGAAAGATGATAAACTACAGTTCATGTTAGAGATGTATCTTAATTACTTAAACAACAAAATGTTATACAGTTGTGTTTACCTTTTAATGCTTTCAGAAAAACATGCTTGATTTTGTATTTGCTGTGGACGACCCAGTGACATGGCACACCATGAATCTGCTGCAGAATCGCAAACACTACTCCATCCTCAAGCTGCTCGGGCCAACAACCATCAGCTCCGTGCAAAATGACCATGGGGCGTCTGTATACTACAACACACTGGTGCCTGTGGACGGAAGGGTAAAGGACTTCTCTAGCTTTATAATTTAATGTTTTTTTCTGCACCAACGCTACAGTCCACAATGACGTTTTTTTCTCATGTAGAAGCTGTCCAGATGTTGTTAATAATAATTTCTCCATATGTGTGTCATAAGCAGTCATGTTTTTGTGTTTGGTCGGATTTAAGTGTTTGATTTAAGCAGCAGAAGGTTTTTAGCAGAAATAATTATCTTCTATTTTTTATTTCAAATAGCTTTATTTGACCATAATGACATACAGCATTGCCAAAGCTTTGTACAATCTTCATGAATAAATAATCTAACCAAAATCGGCTGAGTATAAAGCATATCAGGAAAGAATACATAAAAATAACATGCATTTGCTTTTCCTCCACATCCTGAAACTGTATTCAAGGTTGTTGTGTTGTTGTTGTTGTCTAGCTAGACTTTGTTAACTTTAATAAACTTCTCCTCGTCCTTTTAGATCATCAAATATGGTGTGATAGGTACAGAGTGCCTCATAGATGACCTGATGCACTGGAAGACCATGTATGTTGCTGGACGACTTCACAAACCAGTCAGTATCATGAATCATTTTCTTTGACAAAAGTTAATTAAAATAACAGTTAAATGTTCATTTCATTAAAGAATTCCTGACAGACATTTTCACATTTGAATACCTATTCCAGTTTAATCTTCAGGTGTTGCATACGTGTGTTTTATGTTTGCATCCATGAACATGTGTGTCTTTGTGTACCCACGCAGGTGAAAATGCTGCTGCAGAATGAGAATGGAAAGCTCCGTGCTGCTCTGGTGGCCAACCTGAAGAGTGCTGTGACAGCCTCCTTCCTCATGCTGCCAGAGAGCTTCACTGAGGAGGACCTCTTCATGCAGATAGCTGGGCTCTCTTATGCTGGTAACCTGCTCGTACTACGACAAAAGCTGGAAGAAGATTAAACACATACACATTCATAAAATGCATACAGGCTTCGACACAAGATGACCAAATCAGTTGTATTACTTATACAGAGAAGAGGAGTCCAGACAGAGATGTGCAACTAAGTTAACTTTTCTAATTCTCTCTCACTTGCACACACACTTATTACTGTTGTTATAAAAAAAACTGATAATTATATCCGGTTTCTTTTGGCTTTTTGATATTAATGCAAGTACAGTGCCCTCAGCAGGGTTCTGAATCAGTTGACTGGTGTATCTATAACATTTATAAGACTGATGGTTCTATTTCCCACAACTAATGTGGTTGATTTGTACAGATAATGTGACAGTTAATGTTGCTCCTATAAAATATTTACATGCTAAGAATGTGCTTACAAAGGGAGTGTTACCATATAGATTCATGAGTTACAGAAGCAGAAGGTAAAGTAATGAACGTGGATCACTCCATTTTTTTTAAACTGGAAACTGAACACCAGATGTTTAATATCTCAGCGTGTGTTACAGCCATGCTCCTGAAACACCCTCTGGGGATCAATAAAAGCTTATCTTATCTCATCTTAGTACAGCGTGGAGTAGATTAAAACTGTAAAGTATTTAACGCTTAAGGGAAAACATTTTGTCTGTGCCTTCTCAGGGGATTTTAGAATGGTGATCGGAGAAGATAAATCCAAGGTGGCCAATATCGTCAAAGACAACATTCAGCACTTCCGGATTCTGTACAGCAACATCCTACGGGACTGCCCTCAAGTGGTGTACAGATCTCAACAAGGGCAACTGGAGGTAAAGAATGTCACACACAAATGCGCTGACCTATCACACTTTAATCATCTCACCTGATATGTGAGCAACAATGTGCTTTGTCTTCAGTTTTTCCTTGTTTAAAATGCCTGTCTCAAATATCCATGTGAATAGCTACTCTTACGGTTAATTCTTCATAATAATCTTTTGTGAATTTTCAAGGCATTTGATGTATAAACCGAGATTTAATACCAACTTGACAGAATGCATTTTAAATGTAATAATGTGATATTTTAGAAACTCTTGCTGATCTGTTACAGAACTATTTGCAAAAACATACAGGCTGTCATTATTGTCATAAAATGCTTCCCTTTACTATCTTAAAAAATATATTATTCCTGCCTTTTCAGTGAAAATAGGAACAAAGCTTTGACCTGAGTTGTACAAGGTGTTGTCAAAGACTTGGCAGTAAACTCTGAATAGGGTATAACCTGTGGGACTTACTGTGTTAATGAGTATTACATGGGAGATGTGTGTACGTGTCTGTGTTTGCACATTTATTGGCATGAGTACATATTTCTCTTCATGTTATTGGTGTAAGGTTTCATCTTATTTTCATTTTTTTTTTTAAGTTTGCCACCACTCCTCGTTTTACCAAGTAAATACTGATCACACCAACCTGGAAAAACAGGAATGAGTGGTTAGGAGGGTTTAAAGTGTGTGAGTAACACAACTTGCACAGTGAACAACAATGCTTCCATGCACAAACCAACTCTAAACTTTGTCCAGTGATGTTTCAGACTACTGGCAGTGTATTATCTCAAATATTTCTCTCTGTCATGCATCTTGTTGCAAGGCTGTGATGTTTTAATTGTTGAGTATTTAAAGTTTCTCCCACTCCAATCATTTCTACTAAACATGGTAGATTATCTTGATATGCATTAAAGGTAGGGTAGGTAAGTTTGAGAAACCGGCTCGAGATCGCTAGAGTTTGAAAATACACAACCGGAGAAAATCTGCCACTTCCTTACAGAGCCCCTCCTCCAACACACGAACGCGCACATGACCAATGAGGGCACGAGATAAGTTTGTGCACAGATGGAAGGCTGACAGGCAGGTAGGCCATCCAGTTATTTTAGCCGGGCCGGCTAAAATGATTGGTCGTACTTTTTACAGTATTACGGCTTCCACAGATGACATTTTTTTTATGGATTTTTTGTCAAAGCACTTAAGATATTCATTGCTATCGGGATGTTAAGAGCATTCCATGGAATATAACAAAAAGTGTATCTCGAGCCGGTTTCTCAAACTTACCTACCCTACCTTTAATACCTGCAATAACAATGCACTCTGGTTATCGGTCTACATTTTTGTTGACTCCTCACAAGAGACCTGTGGATGTGATAGTTGGGATTGTGCTGCCAGTGTTAATTTATACCGCCAAGAAGTAACGTTGTCTGGCTGATTTATCAAGTTACTGTCAGTAGGATTAAGAAAAAACTACTGGCCATATTTTAATTAAACTTGCTAAAAAGGTCAAAGGAAGAACCAATAACCTTTTGGAGCGGATGTGAATAACTTGACAGGTGCATTTATTATGTTTCACTTATTGCTAGGGAATTTGTGCTGCTTTCATGTTGTGTTGGATACAAACCCCTCAAGTTTACAACTACAATAACACGTTGTTTAAACGCTCCAAGCAATAGAATACAAAAAATAACCTTTGTAACATTCCTGTTGTATCCACTTTGCTCACGAAGACCTGGTCTGAACTCTCTGGCTGCCATTCAAGTTTATTCTTTTTTTTTTGTTGTGCCTGCAGGTTGACAAAAGCCCAGAGGGTCAGTTTATCCAGCTAATGGCATTGCCTCGGACCCTTCAGCAAAGGATTACAAAGCTGGTCGATCCTCCGGGGAAAAACCGAGATGTGGAGGAGATCCTGCTGCAGGTGGCTCAGGACCCGGACTGCGGAGCTGTCGTTCAACAAGGTTCGGACTAGAGAATTAGTTATGGATGTAGAAAAGAGAGAGGGGCAAGCAGGCAGAGAAAGAAAGAGAATTATACTTAGGATGTTTCATTAAAATTCACTAAATGCTACAGATAAAGGGTGATATCATGTGTGGTGAATATTAAATAAGGTAGGATTAGGCTACAAATGAATAATATGTTTTTGCTTCTTCTCAGGTATCTCATCTATAGTGAAAACCTCCAGTATAACACAGAGTATCAAAGGGATTGCTACAGCTGGTAAGCACTCATGGTTTAAGGAATACACTTATTTATTTGCATGCCCAGAGTTACAGAAGAAGATAAATAGTACTCTCATGTTTGTATGCTAACATTGGAGCTAAAACACTTAGCTTAGAATAAAGACAGCACACCTGGCTCTGTCGAAAGGTAACAAATTCACTTTCAAGTTCAAGGTTCAAGGTTCAAGGTTCTTTATTGTCAATCTGACATAGCTACAGAGTAATTATGTAGTTGAAAATCTTATGTCACAGGCTTCTCCAACAATGCAACATAATAACGTAATAACATAATAACAATAAGAGCACAAACATTTGTTTAATATGTATGAAATATGTGTTCAAGTAACAATTAATAGTTTTAATAGGTGATGGAAAGTGTATTTTATTACGTTTGGACATAATTAGGCTAGTTTTGTACTCCTTTACACAGTCTTTGTGTTAAGCTAACAGGTTGCAGGCTAGCTTAATATCTGCTGTACAGATACAAGAAGGTTGTCAATCTAAGCATCTAACTCTCGGCAATAAAACATTTCTAATGTCAAGATGTCTTCCACTATGTATTAACAATAGTTTTAATATAGTGTACTTTAATGTGTTTGTTAAAGTTAAGTGTACTGCATGTCCTCCACAGGCTTATGGAAGACGGTGTCGTACAGCTCCAAGAAGCTGATGAAGATGTGGAAGGGCTGGAGAAGGAAGCCTTCAGTCTCACAGATGTCCTGATACTGTCTGTTCGCCAGTTGTTTCTCTATAAACTGTCCGCACAACAACGAACTTCCATCCTTCCATTTTTACCCTGACACACTGCTGAAAGAATCACACACTTACCTCCTGTTATATCACCTTATAGCCTCCATGAAGGGGATCACTGAGCGAGTCTGTGTTTGAAAAGTGTAGACTAACTGCCCTTTATCATGCAATACATAGAAGTTGTATGAACAAAGGGTGACATTTCAAGAGCCTGTCTGAATTAGGGCTGACATTTAATGTTTCTACAGATTGAACCTTTCCGCATAATGACTCTTTTGAAATATGGTATAGTGTAAGATCCATTTTCTGTGTGGACAGCCATATGATGGGCAGCTTGGAGATTAAAAAGATATCTATGTGGGTCACTTTCATCTTTTGCAGAGAGAGGGCTTTATTGAACTGTCTACAGATGTGGGCACTCACTTTTTATCCTAAACTAACTCCAAAGATCTCCAATCTTTCATTACTTCACTGCCACCTTGCTATAAGCTGGGCATTAAGACAACAGGAGGTCTTTAATGCGGAAATTCTGATTACTTTCCCTCCTGATAACTTGCTGTGGTCTTTGAAATATGAATTTAATAAAACATTTATTAGATATCAATTAGCATGACTCTGTTCTTAGTAGGTTTTAGTGTTTTATTTTAATGTATTAAAGCACATTGCAAGGACTAGTTACAGAGGGTTTGTGGATTCAATTCTGAACATCATATCTTGTATGTTTTGAAACGTCATCAACATCTACTTCATAAGGATTGCCTGTCATATATTATTCCTATTCCTCATTAGATTCTCTTGAATTACTCATTTTGGATTCCTGCTGTTATTAATTTAGAGCTAACTAGAGTGACATATTTGAAGTGAACAACAATTTTATACATTTATTTTGAGAACATTATTTTAGTATTTTCTTACTGTATAATAAAAAAGGTAACAATTAATTGGTCAAAATTGATCATATTCATAGACGTTTTTCACTACAGATATTTAGACTTCATAGCAAGAAAAGCACAGATGTAATTAATGACAATACTAATGACTGTATTGAATTTAGTGCAATTTAGGCATAATTCCCTGGTCTCAAACTGGAAAAAAGCTATCATTAGTGTCATAACTCATTGCTTTGAATACAAGACAGGTCTCCTAATGTATGTCGAAATTGGCCATTAAATTGGCCATTAAAAAAGATGTTCTTATAATCAGTGTTGTCATACTTATACACTGGCCTGCTTCATCCCATCACAATGCATCAGTATGCAAACAGCACCACTTCCTGTTACTTTTTTTCCACCTTTTAATTAGAAACTTTCGCATGAGTCATGCTTCACAACTGACTTCAGTTACGGACACATGAGTCATCTTTCAGGTACATTCCCTCAAATGATTGTGTCCTCTCTTTCACTGCATTTTTTAATGAATCTCTGTGTATTTACTAGGCCAAAAAACCTAAAACATAACATAAGATAAAATACCTCAGTGATGCATGATTAATATTCCACTTAAACACTAAATGGGATCATTCAACCTCTATTATGACCACTCTAGAATGTGAAATAAGTAATCAAACATTCAAAATATGTCTGCACTATAATATAAATGTAGTTGTGAGCAGATATTATTTCTTCATTAGCACCATTACATGACTGCATACAACTACAATATAGTGTATTACTTATCCATTTAATATTAATTATAAAAGCTAAGTATGGGGCTGAATATATGTGTGGTGTAAATGTTAACATTGACACAATCATTTATAATAGAATAGGCCTATGCAGTTTAAGAATTACAACTAAGGAAGATTAAAACAATAAACTGAAAGGTTGATGGTTAACTGACTGGCTTATAGCCTACATAAGTGACTTATACAGTGGCTGTTAAGGGAGGGAGCTCTCCTTAATCACCTGCTAAATGTTTCACCAGACTCCTGAGAGGTAAACAGTGACAGCAGCCTAACCTTCAGGGGACGTGATGCAATGCGTCATTAACATAATATATGCTGATATCATCGCTGCAGTGCTCCACCAATCAGCGCGCTTTACTTTCACCACCTGCTAGGAACTGAATTCCATCATTCCAGGCATTCCTGCCCTGCTCCCTCCTCCTCCTCCTCCCTCCTCCCTCCTCCACCACCTCCTCCTCTTCCTCGTTTAGCCTACAACCAAGTTTGTCCCGACAGCCCTCGTACTGCCCCGTGTAACCGCCGCTTTTTGTTTTGTGTCTCGTTGGAATATACGTCTTGTTTTTGTTTTCCTGTGTGGATACTATCATACTGGACGATACCAAAGTGGCGTTTGAAGGAGGTATGTGCTGCTTAACATGAAGTCTGACTGACTTGTTTCGGGTTTGTAGGGTGATAGTGCGCTCTTTTTCTTGAGTCCAACGCTACGAATTCAGTCCGTTTATTGTTGTGAAATAGTCAGCATGTGTATGGAGACAGCGTTGTAAACACATGGCTGGGATAATATCCGCCTCGTTTTACGAAGGTTGACATTTCATTCACGACGTGGAGCAGATTTGCGGGTTCCCTAACTTTCTCATGTCAGGAAACAACATGCTTTTCTCCAGGGATCTGGGGATTTGTGTCCCTTCTGTGGTTGTTGTGGAGAGGAGTCAAACTAATCACTGAATTAAGAAGCGATAGGTTTCTTTGGATAGATCTCAAAAGACCGAGGAAGCACTGAGTCAGGCTGATATAGATAGCCTACAGCACTGGTGGGAATAAAAGTGGACGCACTTGCTGCTAATAATAATAATCGCTTTCATTTTTGCCCGAGTCATGGTCCTATAAAAGTTTGTGGCGTTTCTTCGCGCGCACCAAGTAAACCGTGCGGTGTTGTGACGAGATGCAGGACAACAAACCTGGAACGTTTGCAGTTAAGTCTGAATTTGCAGTAGTAAGTTCGTATTGCTATCGTTCTCAAAACGCTTTTTTCCTGTAGAAATGAGGGAAAGGTATCTCAGGAATGCAGAAAGAGGGAAGAGAAGCGCGCTGAAGCGTTTTCTCCACAAATGCCTCTCATAGCACAGCTACACTGAAGGCTCAGCACTGAAGGACAAACAAATCCCCAAAAGTGCTAAAACAATTTGGAGGACAGAGTCTAACTTTCACAGGAAGGTCACAATTATTAAAACAAACTATACAGTAACAATGAACTAGTAACTAGTATTAATACCATTTAAAGGGAGCATTACTACAAATAAGTACAAGTTCTTCATTCAAACCCTAACCCTAAAGTACAATTGGAGAAGCATTATGCCAAGGTGTAATAAGTATAACAAGTTTAGTTTATTAATCCATTGGTTGTTCAACCGAATACTTATCCGCAACTATTTTTGATTATTGTGAAAGTCAATTTTTAAAACCCAAAATGTACTGATTCCAGCCTCTTGTCACATTGGCTCTGGAAAACTATTATGGTTATGATATTTTTCAGATGAATCGACTGAGAAATACATTGGTAAAATATCTCTGTGAAAATAATTGTTTCAAATGTTTTAGTCAGTTATTTAGTTTGTGCAAATCACATCAAATCAGGGAAGACTTCTACTTAGACCTTAGACATTAAGAACTGATCGGTTGACCGTATTTCGTTAAATGTTTAAAAAAAAAAAAAAAAGGCTATTTCTCAAACAATTTGGTGTCTACCAACACTCAGATATTGATTGATTCTGGTGTCTGAATGTGTTTAAAATGTTACAACTCGAGCTCTTAATAAACTGGCCTCTATCAGATATTAACTTTTTAATTGTTTAAGAGATGAAAGCCACACATGTTGACAGTGCCCTCCCCTCTGTCCCATAGGCATCCAAGCATGGAGACACCACTGGATGTTCTGTCAAGAGCAGCATCATTTGTTCATGCCAATGAAGAGGAAAGTAAGTTTTATCAGTTTTATCACTTCCTCCTATGTTTGTGTGTCTGCAGTTTTACTCCCATTCTGTCTTGCTGTGTAAAAGGTGCCCTGTGGACAAATGATTTCTGAGATTAGAGTTGCTATTGATAAAGTGTAACATTATGTTCACCCATAAGCCTCGGCTCTGTTTTCTGACATTAGACAATAGGCGTCTTTGTGCTGTGCAAGCTTGCAGTTGCAGATACACAGGCAAATAAGACCAACCGCCCTCAACTGCCATTAGCTTTAACTCAGCGGCTTGCTTGTGTTAACCTGCTTTCACTGGAATCAGGGTTGGGTAGATCTCTGTCTCATTATCTGTCTCCAACTCTGTGGCGCTGTCTGGTTGATCCCTCTCCATCTTTTCTCTTATTTTCTTCTCAGACCTCCTGTCTCTGTCTTCTTCTGGCTTTTCATTTCTTCTCTCCTAATCATGTCTATGGACTTGCTTGAAAAAAAATTCCTTCCGAGATTAAGAAGAAATGGCCAACCCTTATCAGCGGGCCTCTCCATAGCTGAGTAAAACACTTAAAGGTGGGGTAGGTAAGTTTGAGAAACCGGCTCGAGATACATTTTTTGTTATATTCCATGGAATGCTCTTAAAGGGCCCATGTCATGGCCATTTCCACTGATCATAATTACATTGTTGAGGTATACTAAAATAGATTTATACTGTGCAATTTTCCAAACTCACATTGGTTTCGCATACAGCATCTCTGTCAAGCATGTGTATTCAGCAGTATTCACTTTCTCCATTAAACGACTCGTTGGAGCTCTTGCCCCCCCCTCCCTGCGAGCCTAGTGTGCTCCGATTGGTCAGCTCGGCCACTCGTTCTGATTAGTCAACCACCAGAGAGGCTGCGCCCATGTCAGTGCTTTTCCCGGCTGCTCTCAGCGTAACATCAGTCTTATCATGGCGTCGGTACAGCGGTATATTTTATATACATATATATTTTTAACTGTTGTTATAGAAGAGTGTGACGGCCCCAGGGCCTTTGTCTTACGATGGGGTGGAGCTGAAGAGGCTAATCAGCACGATCACGGACACCTCCGGACACAGTCTCTCTCCAAAGCGGCTGCAGGAAGACTAACTCTGCGATCCTCTCAACCACCTATCTCTGCATTTACCACAATAAATGTGCCGTGGTTTTGTAAACTCGTGTATGTCTCCTTGTCTTTCCGTTGTGGCCTACGAGCTACTCTCATAACAAAGAGTAAGTTATTTTTACCCGTTATAAACTACTACTGTTTGATGAGAAATCAAATCATGGTTTGCTATATATGAATTCAGGGAAGAAAGGATAGGCCTACTAAGTATTTCCATTAAACTTTATTTTTAGAAATGTACAAAATGAACATAAATATACATATATACACACGGTATATCATTCATTCCTCCTCGCATCTTGCCTGCGCACAGTCGGTGCGGTGCCTTTTAGCACGAAGCCTCAGTAGTAGTCGAAGTCCCTTCCCCGTCATGGATTGTCCGCCAGGATCTGGCTGGACGAAATCAAATCACAAAATATTAGAGAAACTTAGTTGTTTTAGATTCGTTAGTAGTAGTTGTGTAATGAACAGCTTGCCTGCTAATATGCTAACCTAGCTTTGTTTACCTTGGTAGCTAACACGATATGAACGTTAGCTTGGAGGAAAGGCAACTATAATGCAGTGTAATAAAACAACTATGAACAAAAGCTAGTGGTTCATATTAGGCTAGCAATAACGTGTTTATAATTGCAATCGTATACGGGTATTCTGCTACCATACAATGTAACTTG